GACACTAGTGCTTGTCCTCCTTGGGGATCTCCTTTGGTGAAACTTTTGATTCCAGTTCCATGGTGATTCTGAAAGAAAAAATCCACTAAGTAAAATTAAAGTGTCTTGAAATGCAAAAGAAAACAGAGGAAATTGTTGCCATGATAATAAACATGAAATTTCATATCACAATTCATCGAGTCCTCAAGATCATGCTTAGGTGGTATCTTTGGCAATAATCCATGTCCAAGTTTGGCTGGACAACTTTTTTGAACTCTACACCATCATTTGATAACAAATCAATCTCGATCTATTTTAAAGACCATGGACACAAATGCCAGAACCAAGTAACAGAGTATTACTCTAACCAAAAGAACGAGGCTAGGGCAAAGCTGAAAAGCAAGAACAAAAGAAAATAAGAATGGAATGAGTACCATCTTAAAGATGCCCTTTAATGACAACAGCATAAATTCTCATCTAATCTGAATATAAAGCATATCAAGTGTTGCATTCTGCGGAGAATCACAACCCTTACTACCCATTTTAAGAATGTAACTAGCACAGTAAAGCTGAACCATCTTCATGAAACATTTGCATTAGAATGAACTACCAAAAATTTTACAAAATGGTGTCCCTCAAACATATCAACAATTTCAGAGTGAAATTTTTTTTATACAAGAAAACGAAAATATGAGAAGAGGATTACTTGGGGGCATTGGCAGATTCTTCTTCAAGCCACTTACGGATATGTTTGACATTGCGCCTGAAGATGGTAGCTGATTGCTTCACATCACTCCTCAGCAGAAGAACCACCGCACTTACACCAGCAACAGTCAGTATGAAGTTTGTCAAAGCCATACTTCTTGTGTTTCTTGCAAAACCTACTTCCAATACAATGACAGAAATGATTTGGAATGCACTCTGTTAAATGTAGTTCAAAATAATAAAACCCAAGTCTTATCTAACTTAGCCAATAAGTTGAATTAAGTTGAATGATTCACTGAGTATCAGGAATATCACTATCCTTTTTGTACCAAGAAAACTGTAATAAAAACAATAACAAAAAAATATGACATATCTTATTTTTAAAACAGCTAAGAAAATAAAACCCAAGTGAGGATTAGTTAAAATCAAGGTCCAGACTTCATGGTTAACATTTCTTTTCTATTCAAGCAACTTCAAATCTTCAAAGAAACAAACCTCCTGCTTTATTTCGGGTGATTAGGAAATTAACGCATGTATAGCCCCAAGACACAAAACAGCATATGATGACTAAAAGATGAAACTCATTTTATACAAATAACAAGGGAAGGGCAGCATTTTATTTCCTAGAGAATTCACAATGATGCAGGGGCTATATGAAGTTATGAACACTCCCAAATTACACGAACCCATCTAAAAAAAGTGCACTCAGAGACAAACTGGAGTAAATTAGCCCCTCAACTATGTAAACATGGAACCCATAGCCCCTACCTCAACTGGTTCAGTGTAAACATGGAAAACATGGCCGCTGAAAAACTATTATTATTATTATTTGATGAATGAAACCCTTTACTTGAATGAAATCACATGAAACGACAACAAATCAGCACTAAAATCTAAAATGAATTCAGAAAATTAAGTCAAAATATTAATAAATAAATAAATACCCCGTAAATAAATGGTGGGTAAGAGATTACCAAAGATTTGTTCGTACCGAGAAGAAGAAACTTGGGACTGCTCCTGACAGAATAGCTTCGGGAGAAAACTGAGAGACAGCAGCGCCAAAATGCGGTGGTGGCGAAGAAGAGGGACTTTGTGTATTTACTATTTTGTAAATCGTATCGTATTAAAGTGCACCAAGGTTTTGGATCAATGTGAATTTTGGGTTTTGGGTCTTTTGTGATTAAACATGGATTGTCATTTCAAGGCCCGTTGAGGTTTTTGGAAACGGACCTGCGCATGGTTCAAAGCCAACTATTGGACTTGGGTTCTTAGATCATCCTGAAAACAGGTCGGTTGGCTAGGATTGTGACGATACTGAAAAAGGAGAGACTTTTTCTTTTTTTTCTTTCTTTCTTATTATAGGTGAAATTTAATTAATTCAATGATATATGCATATGTGATGACATATTCATTAGCCTCTTCTTCTTCTCAAGTCTTATGTGACCCAAAATCACAAATTTTTCGACTAGAGCTGGTGAACAAAAGGCAGGATGCACTTTAATTTTTATTTTTATATTTTCCCAATTCTTTTTGCAGCGAGCTAGATCACCTGTGGAAGGTCTATGTTAAACCAAAAAGGATCTCATGTATGTCAACCAATTCACATTAACAAGGAACAACAAATTTGGTTACAATATTAATATAAATTCATCTATCCACAACGACCAACTATAAAAAAACAATTAATTGCGAAATTTTCTTAGTCATCTCCATATAAAACAGTACTCACTTTTATCCGTACCCACTATAACTTTTTTTTTTCTTCAATACAATCGATATCGGGGAATTGAGACATTTTTTACTACCTTCTTGATCGACACCATCCCCTTGCTCGCCATTGATTTCCTCGTAACCCTAGCCATCAAACACTCATCACAGCGATACATGTCATGGTCTTTTCCAATATAAACATACAGCCCCCACAGCTCTGGACTCTCCTTGGACAACTTTGGCGGTGGAAATTTGGCACCCCACTTTATAATCCCACTCATTATTTCATCATGCAATCCGCCATTATCATATGATCCTCTTTTGATTCCAATCGTCGACAGCACCTTAGACAGAAACTCGTACGACTTGCCGCATTTCCTCAACACAGGCTTCTCAAGTTCAACTATTTTTTCATGTTTTTCTTGATGTTGGTGGACGAGGGTGGTGTTGCAACCGGTTCCTATATCATATGAGGAACCAATGTCATAGTATATATGATTGATATGATAGTCAAACTTAATCAGAAATTGAGGCGCCGCAGGCGATGATGAAGAAGGTTGGTAGGCACGTCCTAGCAAGTCTGGTTCAAGGAGTAACACGTAAAAATCCATGCTATCCTTCTCGTGATGGACTTCAAAATCTTCGACTTGCACTGCCATGGCTCAATCAAAGAGAAGTAAAAAACATAATAATTTAGGGTTGATGTACATACGGTTAGGGTTTAGGTATGATATATATGTATGTGTGTGTGAATGTTTTGAACTTTTGAATGCTAGAGAAATTTTAGGGATTTCAAAAAAATTGAAAGGCTATAATTTTGGGATTGTTTATGAAAAATCGCTGGGTAGCAAAAATGATAGGGTTTCGTAAATAGGTGGACTTGTTACATCTGAAATCTACCCTTTTTCCTTTCTTCCTTTTATGAACAAAGAAAAATAAATATTTTTATCAGAAATATGTGGTGGTGGTGGTGGGAACGAAGATAAGAAAGAATCTACAGTTTCAAAAAGAGAGTCAAAGAAGATTGCATTAGGTAACTAACGTGTAAAATCTTGCCAAATAAAAGGGGATGTGAGAGATAATGGTTTCGGAATCAATGGCTTTAGTTTGGGGGCATGTTATCCAATCCCCTCCACAATGACCGCACCAAACTTTGGTGCTTTCTTGTCCCACAAATATCTATTATAAATTTCTATGCTATGATGATATATGTACTAAACAAAAACTCTTAATATTTATATATTCTGAAAGCTCAATCCTATGTAATGTAATGTACTAAACAAAAACTCTTAATATTTATATATTCTGAAAGTTCAATCCTATATAATGTGTGCGTTTGTGACATGTATATCGGGTAAAATCAATAATGACATACCGTTGTAAGTTTTAAGTTCAAATAATGTATAGACACAAATAAACAAAAGCGAGATTGAGATATTTATATTATCTAATAAGACACAAATAAACAAAAGCGAGATTGAGATATTTATATTATTTAATAATTTGATTTGATTTGATTTGATTCAATAAGATCAGTTGGCTAATGCACCGTGCCCGTCCCGGGTTATCTATTCCATGTCCGTACATCAAAATGTCCAATTAAAAAAAAAAATCATGGATATTGAATTAATAGTGCCGAAAAAGAAGTAGTTGGTTGGTTGTCTCGGAATCTCATGCCTGTTCCAACAAACGATTTGATGATTCAGTGTGGGCCCAGCCCATAACTTACTAGTGGGGCCCTTGGTTCATCATGGGTTTGGGTTTGGTCATCGTGGAATCTGGACCCCTGGTCCCTCGTAAAGCACACACCAAAAAAGAAGAAAAAAAAAGTAAGCGTACGCGGCATCATCCTTGAGCCCTCCAAGTGGCAGAATCCCAGATGCCCAATTCTGTCTATACCTTAATGTGACCTAAATATTTAGTTACTTGCCCATCGGCCCACCTTTTTTATTTATGGATATATAAAATGACTCACAGTTTTGATGTTTTGTTTTGTTAATTTTCATTTATTAAATTAGTTTAGGCTGTTGAAACTTGCTTTGACAAATCAGATCTCATTAATTATAAAATTCCTCTTGAATTTCCTCATATAGTTGATTTTTTTTTTGTTCCTCAAATATTATAATCAAGATTTCTATTTATTTTATAAACATTTAGGATTTCAAATTTAAATATATTTGTATATGAACATATAAGCATTATCAGATTAATTCAATTAAAAAAAATATTTAGATGTTTGATAAAATCCAAAATAAATTAGGAAAATTCAATCTCAATTTTAGAATTTGAGTTGGGCTGAGGACAAAGTAAGGGGCATGTGGGTTCTTCTGGCATAATAAGTGAGTGCTTTTGTCTCCCCATTTGTCTATTTTGTGTGCCATGTGAGGTAATTCCATCTTAATCCCACTTATAATATAAACCCAACTTGTCTTTTGACTTTTGTATGCTTAATAAATAATTTTTTTTTCTTTCCCCTTTATTTTGTTGAAATAATTCACTTTTATGAGACATGTCATAATGAAACGTTACAATTGTGCAGATCGTAGTGCTTGTGGGAGGAGTAAAAAAGCCAGGGATCAATGTTAAAGAAAAATAGTGTACTTGTTAAACACTCTCAATTGATGTCCTAAAGGTTTTTTTTTTTTTTTTTTTTTTTGGGGGGTAGATTTGATATCCTAAATTTTTTTATTTCCTCTTTTGTTTGGCAACTCAAAAGAACACATTTCTTTGGTCCTGAAATAACATAACAAGTTGGAAAAATTTGTAGCATACAAATTCCAAAATTTGATACAAATGGTTTTCCTTATTCGCATGAAAGAAAAGTTTTGAAGATATTTGTCACATCTTGGGATCGGCTCCGTCATAGCACGATATTGTCTTTGGCCCTCACGGTTTTGTTTTTGGAAGCTTACGGCCAACTTCCCAGTGGGTCACCCATCTTGGGATTGCTCTGACCCCCAACTCGCTTAACTTCGGAGTTCCTACAACTCCAAAACCAGTGAGCTCCCAAAATGCCTCGTGCTAGATAAATGCGAGTGTGCACATATAAGACACATCACCCTATCTCCGTTGGTCGATGTGGGATGTTACAATCCACCCCCCTTAGAGGTTTGACGTCCTCGTCGGCACACTCGCACTATACGGCAGAGTAGGTCTGATACCAAATTGTCACATCCCGGGATCGACTCCGCCATAACACGATATTGTCCGCTTTGGGCCCCCCTCTCTGACCCTCACAGTTTTGTTTCTAGGAGCTCACCGCCAACTTTTCAGTGGGTCACCCATCCTGGGATTGCTCTGGCCCCTAACTCGCTTAACTTCGGAGTTCCTACGACTTCGAAGTCAGTGAGCTCCCAAAAGGCCTCTTGCTAGATGGATGCGGATGTGCACATATGAGATATATCACCCCTTCTCCGTTGGTCGATATGAGATGTTACAATATTTTAGTGCACATTATGAGTGTTCAAGGTTTAGGGTTCGAAATGAAAGTAACATCTATAATAAGATGGGAATGAAAATTAATTTTTTTGTTCTCTTGTTGTAAAACAATGTAAATTTACATTCCAAAAAAAAAAAAACATGGATCTTGTTGTAAAACAATGTAAATTTACATTCCAAAAAAAAAAATGGATATATATATATCAATGGTATGGAAACACGTTACACCCTGAATTTGTTTATCAAATAATGTAGAAGCATTTCAGGATACGAGATCCAACCCGTAACAACACAAACACATTTAGTGAGCTTAAAATGAAATTGTTTCTCCCCAAAAAAAAATTTGTGAATATACTGAAAAAAAGTTATTGAGACATCATTTGCTGCATTATTGTTTTTGGCACACTCAAATTGAAGACAAAATTGTTGAGGAAAAAAAAAACCTTATTTCCTCTGGTGTCAAAAAACACTGTAATATTGAAAAAGAGTGAAGTTGGGCCAAATTGGGCCGGACCCATCCCAAGTGTCCCCGCCATTGTAGTGAGAGCTCCCAGTCCGATCCTCCAAGTCTTCGATCTACTTTTCCACAGTCCCACTTTCTCTTCAGAGCTAGAGAGAGAAAGAGCGAGATTCGCATACGCAGATAAGAGACTAGAGAGAGATATATGGATATAATATCGCAAATAAAATAATGGTTTTCATTTTTATTTTTTATAATTTCTGCCTTTCATGGAAAGAGAGCGAAAGCTCTAAAAAGAGAAAGCCAAAGGTAGTTGGAGAGAGAAACCGAGGAGGAGAGAGAGGGAGAGAGAGAGACTGCGAAGGGTTTCAGTTTGGAAACGGTGAATTAGCTCTATAGCGAATTGGCCCTATACGAAGGACCCTAACACCAAACAGCAACAATCGCAATCAGAGAAGGGGCTCGTCGGATTTCCCTGTACGTTTCCTCAGCGCTCGCGGCGGCGCACGGCCCGGGGGCGGGGGGGGGCGGTGGGAGAAGCGGTTCGCTCATCGGCGCCAGCGTCGGTGGCGGAAGCGGCTTCTGGTCTTGGACTGCTCCCCCCAATGTCGGCTTAGCCGTCGCCGTCACGGCCATGGCCGGTATAGCCTTGGCCGCGACAGTCGTCTACTCTCGTAGGTAAAGAAAACAAACACAAATTCCCCCAAAAAACTGAATCGAAATCCCTAATTTGTTGTGAGAGGAAAACCCTAGATTCTTCGCTAGCTAGATAGGTTGATAGGTAGACTTTACACACATAGATGATTACGCATCAGAAACCCTTAATGAGAGCCCTACGGCGGAGTCACACTTCCTCTAATTCATCTCCACCGTCGTCAAATTCCACATCTTCACCGTCATCGTCGTCGTGGATTCATTTGCGATCGATTTTGTTAGTCGTTGCTTCCTCGTCTTCCTTTCCAGTTTCCACTGATCGGTGAGTTTTCACTGTTCCTCCTCTTCCCCCTATCTCTGCCCCTTAAATTTGGTCCCATACACTCTATTTGGTTACTTAGAGATCGTATGAATAGGCAAAAAAGCTGGGATTTTTTATGGTTTCGTTTTCACATTTACTAAGCACCCAAACGGAGTTTAATCTTTTTAATTTGGAAATGTGCTCCTGGATCCGATCTGGCAGTATCCAATTGATTCCTTTGTGTCCAAAAATGTCATGTTCAGCTATTTATTCCTCAGTCGGTCTTCCTGTACTACTCTCTCTGTGGGATTCAGATTCAGATTATTGCTTCGTTGCTATTCTATATTGGTCGGATTGAATTGTGCCTTTTGTACCATGCATTAGTTGAGGTCTTTTGGATATGAAATTGGGTTCAATTAGGCATTAGTGTGTCACAATTTTAGAGGTCTCTGATTCGTAAAAACAGTGCTTCATAATGGGTTTCCTGTTTAGTCATAAACCTTAAACTGTCCATCAAAATTATTCTTTCTTTTTGGGTGGCAATATTGTTCTTCATGCCTTCCTAGTGGACCTTATTTGTACTGATGAATTGCACATTGTTCTTTTCTAATATCTTCGTTTGTCATTTATATACCACTTTGGATTATTAGATACGTTTGTTTGAATTATGCTTTTTCCTCATATGAAATGTAATCACTTTTTTTTCATTCTTTTTTCAGGGGTAGTCTTAAATCACCTTGGTCCCGTAGGAGAAAAAAACATGCCCTTCTACCCAAACAATGGAAAAGTTTTTTTACACCTGATGGGAAACTCACTGATGGTGGTCTCAAGTTTTTGAAGAAAGTTCGCAGTGGAGTATGTTATTGACTTTTGTCAGACCTACTTTCTATTTTCTGTGTAATTGTTTTTAGGTGTTTCTCCTTGTCATTAATGTATGTGCAACAGCTGTTTGATATTAATCACTTCCTTTCTGATGCCAGGGTGTTGATCCAAGGATCCGAGCTGAAGTGTGGCCATTTCTTCTTGGAGTGTAAGTTATTTTTATTTTTATGTCATTGCATTAATGTTTCAAGTTGTGTATGCTATATATAAATTTGTCAGTGTGAGATTTAGAAATCTTTTGAGAACTTCTTCCAATATCGAATATTAGTTTGCCTGGTCCTGGGGAATGGTTGGTTCCATGGACCCTTGCAGGTGTTTGTTGTGAATTATGATGAGCTATCTATCACCAGTTATACTTTGTCTTTTCTGGTGTGTCCCTGTCTTGTATTTTCTGAGTTAGATTACATGCACATAGAATAGAACCATCATAACAGTTGATTTTTTGTCTGGTTTCATTGTGCATTTTCTGTGTTTATCTAGTGGCTATGATTTGGTACGCGAGGGACTGTTGCAATACCTATGTGTATGTTTAAGTTCCAGTATTTATTAAAGTCAATTATCATAGCAATCTGCATGTAAGTGCACGGTGTTAAGTTATGATGAGGATTTCTTTTTGTATTTTTTTTTCCATTATTTATCTAGCTTAGTCTGCTGTCTGGAAGTGTAGCCATATTTCAGACCTTTGATTCCAGTTTTTTGCATAAATGATAGTGGAGCCTCACCTCTATTGCCTTGTAGTCTCTCAAGAAAATAACATTATAAAAGCTTTTTTCTTTGGCTGCTGGAAATGTTTGCCTGTGGATTATGGTGCTGGCTAGTTTGACATTCATTTGCTCTTTATCAACAGCTATAACGTGAACAGTTCCATGGAAGAAAGAGAATCTGTTAAAAATGAGAAAAGGTATTCATTCAGTTCTTTGGCCTCTTTTCATACATATGCATTGGTGATTCTCTCGCTCTCTCTCTCTCTTACATTCTTTTATTCATTTGCAACACAGAAAAGAATACGAGAACTTGCGGAAACAGTGCCGGAGAATTTTAACACACAGTGATAAGAGCTTTAAGTTGAACGAAGCTTCTGGAAACAGTAGCACCGAGAGCAGTGGGGATTTCAGTCAAGTTTTAGATTCTTCTGGCCAGGGGGATGTTGCAAGTGCCAGGGAGTCCATTTCAACTGAGGGAGGAAACCAGTTGGCCAAGGATCCTGATAAGCCGGTTGGCCATCAAGGTGTTCAGTCTTCTAAATCATGTGAAGGAGATGATGAGAAGAGTGAGGTCACCTGTGAAGATGCCTGTGCTGGCGGCGAGACAGAATCAACTGATTCTGATTCCTCTGAAGACGCTGATATCACTCGACCATTACTCGCCACTGAAGTAACTGGAGAAAATTATGTTGATGAGAGTGCTAAGGAGAGCTCCTCTCCCTCCATTATAGAAAACAAGTCCAAATCCCACACAGCAGAAGATTTTGCCACATGGCAGAGGATCATCCGCCTTGATGCTGTGCGTGCAAATGATGAATGGATCATTTATTCACCATCACAGGCTGATGTATCAGAGATCAAGGCACAAAGACTAGCTGAGAGTGTCGGGCTGAAGGATTACGATCACTTGGAGCCATGCAGGATTTTTCACGCTTCTCGCCTGGTTGCAATCCTGGAAGCATATGCGGTGTATGATCCCGAGATTGGTTACTGCCAGGGTATGAGTGATCTACTTACTCCAATCATCTCAGTGATGGAAGAGGACCATGAAGCCTTCTGGTGCTTTGTGGGTTTTATGAAAAAGGCACGGCATAATTTCCGGCTGGATGAGGCTGGAATCCGAAGGCAGCTTGGCCTTGTTTCCAAGATTATCAAGTGCAAAGATGTTCCTCTCTACAGACACCTGGAGAAGCTTCAAGCGGAGGATTGCTTTTTTGTGTACAGAATGGTGGTGGTTCTCTTCAGGAGGGAGTTGAGCTTTGAGGACACTCTTTGCCTCTGGGAGGTAATGTGGGCAGACCAGGCTGCAATCAGAGCGGGGATCGCCAAGTCTGCTGGGGGGAGGATGAGACTAAGAGCCCCTCCTACTGATGATCTCTTGCTCTATGCAATAGCGGCCTGTGTGCTACAAAGAAGGAAGCTAATAATAGAGAAGTACAGCAGCATGGAAGAGATCATGAGGGAGTGCAATAGCATGGCCGGTCGTCTGGATGTTTGGAAACTTTTGGATGATGCCCATGACTTGGTGGTGAACCTTCATGACAAGATTTAGAAACATCCAATGCTAATGGTAGGCTTTGGTTTTTTCTTTCTTTCTTTTCCTTTTTAATTATTTTTAATTTGATGTTGCACCCGCTGAGGATCCCTTTGAAAGCAAGGATCTTGAGGTCATGTTCACGCTGCTTGAAACAAGCATCTGATAGGCACTTTTATGTATTGGGAGTAAAATTATGGGATTTTTATATATAAATGTATTGCCCGCACTCTGCGCTTCTGCAGAGTGACTGTGGCACAGCAATGCAGAATTAGTAATTCAGATCAACCTCACTCCCATTCATAAACGAATTTTCCACTTTTGAGTGGGATGATATTGGTTCTTTCACTTCCTTTTTTTTCTTTTTGCCATTGGAAGGAAACTTTCAAGGAAGTGAGTCAAGTGTAACGTGTCTCAATTTACGATATTTTGAAAATCGATCTACGTTTTGAAACTAAATAAATGATTTCTGACGTATAATATTTATAATTTCGAGTATCAATAGGATTTGATTTGGGATAGTATTTATATTTCCAACTTTAGCACAACACTCATCGCTAACAGGGTTGCTTTTACTAGTATAGATTGAAAGAGTGGGAGTGTATATATATTGTTTTCTGCTTCTTGTGTTGTGAGGGATCATTCATGACAGTGGCGTCAGTCGGAGTTGGAGGACTGCTTGTTGCGCTGGACGATGTCGTTAATGTTGCGATGGGCAGGTGGATTCTTTTCAATTTTAAGCCCCTCCTCAAAAAACTCAAATACAGACTAGACCGTTTATCAACAGAACCTATCCAGCAGATATTAACAACAAGAAGGCTTGTTTTCAAGTTATCAAATCTTAGTATATGGTCTCATAAAAACAAGAAGAAGATTAGTATATGGAGCTGCAAACGCACAGAGCTGCGTAGTTACACGGACCAACTTGTTCGATCGGATATTTTTCTCGGAATGCTGGGCCAAAAACTAAACCGGGAAAAGCTAGGAATACGAATCTAACCAATTTGACTAAGCCAATATCTGCTCATTATTTATAATTGTACCAATGGAAATAATTACTGGGAATAAAGATTGACAGTTTTTCAGAATTTTATTACTTCGTCTGATTTATTTTCTTCTGTTATTTGGTTTGTAAAGTTATTACTTTTTTTGAGTAAAAGAAATATTTTATGAAAGGATTAATTGCCATTTTGCCCCAGTTTCATAATGGTCAATCTACTACTTATGCTTTTTTTTCATGGACTTGATGGCATTTGAAAATTACTGCAAGTTTTTCCAGCTATCATTGGATTGGAAAGAAAGAGGATTTTTAAGCATAAACGATGTCGTATAGTACTTTACTTTTAAAAATATAAAGGAAAGCAAATCCTGGCCGCAAGATTTATAGTGGACAGCTAGGATTAAAATCTCAGGATTATTCGTATTTTTTACGAGTAAAGAAAAAATATATAAACGGTAATTTCTTTTGTAAAAGCTGCTCCTGCTAATATGTTCCCAACTTACCCATACATTTTTTACTGTGTTAATGAATTGGCAGTAAAAGTACGTTTATGACTTGGTTACTTTATTTATTTAATCCCTCCTTAATCCGTAGAGCTGCCTAATTTTGATATTTTTTTTTAGCTTCCCTCAGTCTTCGTCTTTGAAACAACCGGATCTCATCTCTCTACGACCTTTCTGTGTGTTCGCAGTCGGATCAATCTTAGAAATCTCATCGCTCGTCCGATCTCTCACAATGTCCACGGCGCCGGAAGAACCCCAGTCCCAGAACGGACTCGAACCGGACCCGACGACAAATCCGAAACCCGAATCCGAATCAGAACCAGTGGCACAGCCTGAAGCTAAACCAGAACCCGTGCCAGAGCCCGAAGCTAAACCCGAGCCAGTGCCAGAGCCCAAAGCTAAACCCGAGCCAGTTCCAGAGCCCGAAGCTAAACCGGAACTCCAACCTGAACCAGAAGCAGTGGTAACCGCTGGTGCGGATCCGAAGGTGGAGGAAGTCGTAGAAGCCGCGATCCAATCGAATAACCAAGCAAGTGCGCATCCAGAGCTGAAAAAGGACGAAGGAAGCCGTACATTCACAATGAGAGAGTTGCTCGGTGGCTTGAAAAATGACCAATCGAACGACGTCGCTAATGATTCTAGCTCCCCATACAGTTACAGGTTTGCATTCTTTCATTTTATTGTTTCTGCATTTCTTTTAGTGGTGCAATTGTGCAAAGTTCTGTTTTTTATGCTTGAATTTCGGTTATATGTAGACAATTGCTCCAATTCGTAATATTTGCCTGCAATACCTGCTTTCGGGTTTTCTAAGACGGAAATTCAGACAAAGAATGATAGAAGTTTCACTTCAAATTGGTTATGGTTGATTAGCATGTAACTGTTTTTGACTAAATTTTTTCAGTTTTAGTCTTATATCAAACTATTATGAATGAAATTTGTGGTTGGGGAGGCAAAAATGTAAATTTTATATGGTCAGTGTAGTGGATAACCTTAATACTTTGTTAATAATTTATTTACAACTTATTTGCCACCAATTTGTGGGTTTGAATTGTATCAGTGAAGAAAGCCCACAGGAACAGCACTCAGAGCAGAACAATGCTGCAATGGAGTTGATCAATAGCGTCACTGGTGGCGATGATGATGGTCGGTCTCGCCAACGGGTTCTTACTTTTGCTGCAAAGAGGTACTGTCTTCTTTATCTTTTCTTCTTACTTGTCAGCTTGGTAGGTAATAGTATAATTTTATAATTTACTACCAAAACAAAGCTTGAGTTGTTTGCTATGTGCACGATCACACTTCCTTTTTATTTTATATTTTATGGAACTATGCGATGCTTGCAACCACAGGTTGTTTTCCTGGAGTGCTGATTTCCTGAAATTCTTTTTTGTATGTAAATTGTGTAGGTATGCTAGTGCAATAGAGAGAAATCCAGATGATTATGATGCGCTATACAATTGGGCACTGGTTCTTCAGGTTTGAGATACTGTCTTGTTTGATTCCTGGTTGGATTTAGTTATTGTTTTGATAATTAAATTTCAACCAGATGGCTTTCTTTGTTTTTAATTATTTATTACTGTCTTGTTTGATTCCTGGTTGGATTTAGTTATTGTTTTGATTATTAAATTTCAACCAGATGGCTTTCTTTGTTTTTAATTATTTATTAGCAAGAGAGTTGTGAAAATCATGTTATTTTATAAGGGTTGGAGGCAAATGATAGTAAGAACAATATGCTCATTGAAACTCTGTCTACTGCTATATGTGGTTAACATCACTCATTCTACATTAGTCAACATTTTCTGACTGGGTCATATGTTTGGAATGAAAAAGGCTAAATTTACCTTACATATGTTGACTCTCTCCTCCAATAATGTATGCTTAGATGTTTCAGTTTCTCTATAAATGATTTCATAACAGGAAGTTTCAATTGAAATTCTTATTTTTAAGCACATTTTGTCTTCCTCTGAATTGCATCAGTGCGAATTACTCTGTTAATCAATCCTCGTTTGGAATGCAGGAAAGTGCAGATAATGTTAGTCCAGATTCTACTTCTCCTTCTAAAGATGCTTTGCTTGAGGAGGCTTGCAAAAAATACGATGAGGCAACTCATCTATGCCCAACACTTCATGATGTATGTTTGCATATCCTTTGTCAATATAATCTCATTAGATGGCTAGTGAAATTAGTGATCTCAAAAGTGCTATCATTACTTGATAATTTCTTATTAATTATATCACTTGTGTGAAAATAATTTGTTATCATTACTTGCCAGGCTTTCTATAATTGGGCTATTGCTATCTCTGATCGGGCAAAAATGCGTGGTCGTACAAAGGAAGCTGAAGAACTATGGAAGCAGGTTAGATTACAACTTCAGTACTTCAGCCTTGCAAGATATACAGAGTCTTAGAAAAGGTTCTGCTCTTGTTAGTTTCTTCTGCCGCTGTTGTGGCAACACTGAGACTTGGCAACTGGATTCTAACACTTGGAAGCTGGATATGACTCTAATATTCAAAAGTGAATAGCATTTAATATGAATAATCTGCTACTTTTTATCTGCCTCATTTTGTTGTAACGTTTGGACTTAAGGACTAGGCGATCTTTATGAGCTTTAGGAAATTAGGAACTTAGGAGTCTGTTACTTAAAGCAATTTTGTTTCTCGTCAGATATGGCGATGCTGTGCTGGCATCACGTTGGAATAGTTCTCATTTCCCTTCAAATCATAACCAACATGAGTTCTTTTTTTCTGTAAGAAAACATAATGTCAAAAGGGTGAAGTGATTTTTACCATCTCTTAATTTGATTTGCAGGCTACAAAAAATTATGAAAAAGCTGTCTTGCTCAACTGGAACAGTCCCCAGGTTTGACTCAAGAAATTGTTGTATTAGGCCTTTTCCAATTTCTTATGATAGTCTGAGAAAACCAACTTCTTGTACAGTTTTTTCCTCTTATATGACTGTTCGTCTTATTGCCATTGACTTTAAACCCGCTTCCAGAGAGAGGGAGAGAGTTATGAAGTCCTTCTGGCCAGATGAAAGGAACACAATGTACTTGTTTGCCTCTTGTTTCTTTGTACTAACTCCATGTTATATCTTTCAGGCACTTAACAACTGGGGACTTGCTCTGCAGGTATCTTAAGTTGCATTAGTATTGGCTTTTAATTTAGCTTCTTTTAGAAGAAAGAAAATCTTGTTGAATTTTCCCCTTGCTCAGCATGTATTTATGTTCTATGTTACGAACTCCAGTTTGACTTTTTTCTTCTTTGATTATGCAATTTAGGAACTCAGCGCTATTGTTCCTGCACGAGAAAAGCAAACAATTGTAAGAACTGCAATTAGTAAGGTATTATGGTTGTTTGGAGACATCAGAATGATTGGTTGAATTTGGTGGGAAAACCAGAAAATTATTTTCTTGTCTGAAGTGTAAGTTCCTCATTTATACTGCCATGACTTAATTTCACTTTCCTCTGTTGCAGTTCCGCGCAGCTATTCAGTTGCAGTTTGATTTTCATCGAGCAATTTACAACCTTGGAACTGTATTGGTTAGTTTGTTACTCATCCTTAATAATTTAGGATAATGCAATACTCCATAAATTAAAAGGATCAGTTTCCTCTATACCGGGTAACAAGAGATCACTAGTTCTTTTATCTAATAATCCCATGTAACTTGAATCATCAAAACTTTTCTTCTTCCTACTTTCAGTATGGATTAGCAGAGGACACACTAAGAACTGGGGGATCTGGCAATCCCAAAGAAGTTTCACCTAATGAGTTGTACAGTCAATCTGCTA